TTTGCCACTGCTGCCAGCATAACACACCGAAGAATATGGAAGAGAAGGCTAGAGAAATATAGTAAGTTGTGCTTTTCTTCGTTAGCTCAACAGGTGAAAAGAAAAGAATTGAGCACTGATTCTTCTGTGGGAAAGTTTCTCCTATTAAAATGGCCTCAGACTTTGTATATTAATATTTCCTATGCGGAAATGCTAAGCAGTATAGCTGATGCAGTAGAGCAGTTCCATTTTGTGGTAACTTTTGAGGGCTGATGTGGGGTAGTGGAGGTGCTGTCTGCTCTGTAACCCAGGGTCTCCCTGCCTTGTGATGTGTGATTCCCACTGACTCACCCACATGTTGTGATGTGGTATCAGTACCTTGCTGGTTGCTGTGCTTGGGCGGTGGGCTGTGGATGACCCCTACTGGCCTCTGCCCGGGAGCGCTGCCCAAGAGGTGGGCTGCCTAAGTCATGTAGACACAGACCCAACAAGTCAGACGAATTGGAACTAAGGAAGTCAGTATTCGGGGGAAAGGGAGTTGCTGGTGGAGAAACATGAAGGGAACAGCCGGGGCTGAGGGGCTAGGAGTGATGGATCCCTAACCCAAGGAGTCTGAGTTCCCACACTTGTTCCCATACTTAAATTTTCCAACTGTTTGCGGGCAATGAAGATGCCATCTCAGCTGTTCAGAAAACTTGAGTAGCTTTGACTACCCTGTTCACTTCTGTAAAAGGGGAAAAGAGGTGCTGTCACACAACTGTGAGTGGGTGATGTTGGTTCTTCTCTAAAATTTATTTATTTTTCTTTTTGTATCCCTCTTTCTCTTCTGTTACTCTCTGCAAGCTGGAAGTTTCTTGTACCCAGACAGTTGCAGCATATTGGTGATTTACATTGGGAAGAGATCTTTCAATTCACTTATTTCATACATCATGTATCATAGTTATTCTGTGCATGAAATCTTGCTTAATGGTGAAAGAAATAAAATGAAGTCATCTGGTCTTGATTTCGTGACATTCAGAGATGGACAATCTATCAATTTCTTTGTTTAATATTTGCAGCATACTTACTAGACCATTTCCAATGGTTGTTGTCAGCTCCAGGAGAAGCAGAATTAAGCTGTGTTCTGGGGTGGCACGTATACTACATTTTCTAGCTTTGAGATTTAAGTTTAGCTGCCTCTCTTATTCTGGAAGGGTACAAGAAACTAGCAGACAACCATACCTCTGAATTAATGAAGTCTATGTACATTTAATCTAATTCAAGGAAGAATTATCTTGTTATAGAAGATATAGTTAATGTTACAGTTGTAGTTTCAGGAATTGAAGGAGAAAATTAACCTGTTTGCTTGGGCATAGAGTTTAATGAGTTAATGTTTAATCTTGGGTTTTGTTGTCACAGAAGCCTGCACGCTGTTTTTACTCCTGCCTGTTAATTTGAGTAGAAAGACCCTCTGGCTGTGAATGTGGCTATCAGGGTTCCAGAAAACACCACCACCTTCGTGCTATTTCTGTCAAAGGAGAGGATTTTGGTGGGATGCCTTGAATCATAGAATAATAGGACTGGAAGGGACCTCCAGAGGTCATCGAGTCCAGCCCCCCGCCCTCAAGGCAGGACCAAGCTCCGTCTACACCATCCCTGACAGATGTCTGTCTAACCTGTTCTTAAATATCTCCAGAGAGGGAGATTCCACCACCTCCCTTGGCAATTTATTCCAATATTTGACCACCCTGACAGTTAGGAATTTTTTCCTAATGTCCAATCGAAATCTCCCCTGCTTCACTTTAAGCCCATTACTCCTTGTCCTGTCCTCAGAAACCAAGAGAAACAAATTTTCTCCTTCCTCCTTGTGACACCCTTTTAGATATTTGAAAACCGCTATCATGTCCCCCCTTAATCTTCTTTTTTCCAAACTAAACAAGCCCAGTTCATGAAGCCTGGCTTCATAGGTCATGTTCTCTAAACCTTTAATCATCCTTGTCGCTCTTCTCTGTCCCCTTCAGCTGAGGCCTAACTAGTGCAGAGTAGAGCGGCAGAATGACTTCACGAGTTTTGCTTACAACACACCTGTTGATACAACCTAGAATCATATTTGCTTTTTTTGCAACAGCATCACACTGTTGACTCATATTCAACTTGTGGTCCACTATGACCCCTAGATCCCTTTCTGCCATGCTCCTTCCTAGACAGTCGCTTCCCATCTTGTATGTATGGAACTGATTGTTCCTTCCTAAGTGGAGCACTTTGCATTTCTCTTTATTAAACCTCATCCTGTTTACCTCTGACCATTTCTCTAACTTGCTAAGGTCATTTTGAATTATGTCCCTATCCTCCAAAGAAGTTGCAACCCCACCCAGTTTGGTATCATCTGCAAACTTAATAAGCGTACTCTCTATCCCAATATCTACATCATTGATGAAGATATTGAACAGTATGGGTCCCAAAACAGACCCTTGAGGAACTCCACTTGTTATCCCTTTCCAGCAGGATTTAGAACCGTTAACAACAACTCTCTGACTACGGTTATCCAGCCAATTATGCACCCACCTTATCGTGGCCCTATCTAAGTTATATTTGCCTAGTTTATCAATAAGAATATCATGCGAGACCGTATCAAATGCCTTACTAAAGTCTAGGTATATGACATCCACCGCTTCTCCCTTATCCACAAGGCTCGTTATCTTATCAAAGAAAGCTATCAGATTAGTTTGGCATGACTTGTTCTTCACAAACCCATGCTGGCTATTCCCTATCACTTTATTACCTTCCAAGTGTTTGCATATGATTTCCTTAATTACCTGCTCCATTATCTTCCCTGGGACAGACGTTAAACTGACCGGTCTGTAGTTTCCTGGGTTGTTCTTATTCCCCTTTTTATAGATGGGCACAATATTTGCCCTTTTCCAGTCTTCTGGAATCTCCCCTGTCTGCCATGATTTTTCAAAGATCATAGCTAAAGGCTCAGATACCTCCTCTATCAGCTCCTTGAGTATCCTGGGATGCATTTCATCAGGACCTGGTGACTTGCTGACATCTAACTTTCCTAAGTGATTTTTAACTTGTTCTTTGTGTATCCTATCTTCTAAACTTACCCTCTCTCTGCTTGTATTCACTACGTTAGGCACACCTCCAGACTTCTCGGTGAAGACCGAAACAAAGAAGTCATTGAGCATCTCCGCCATTTCCAAGTTTCCTGTTACTGCTTCTCCCTCCTCACTAAGCAGTGGGCCTACCCTGTCCTTGGTCTTCCTCTTGCTTTTAATGTATTTATAAAAGGTCTTCTTGTTTCCCTTTATGCCTGTAGCTAGTTTGATCTCATTTTGTGCCTTTGCCTTTCTAATCTTGCCCCTGCATTCCTGTGTTGCTTGCCTATATTCATCCTTTGTTATTTGTCCTAGTTTCCATTTTTTATATGACTCCTTTTTTATTTTGAGATTGTGCAAGATCTCCTTGTTAAGCCAAGCTGGTCTTTTGCCATATTTTCTATCTTTCCTACACAGCGGAATTGTTTGCTTTTGGGCCCTTAACAACGTCCCTTTGAAATACTTCCAACTCTCCTCAGTTGTTTTTCCCTTCAGTCTTGCTTCCCATGGGACCTTACCTACAAGTTCTCTGAGCTTATCAAAATCTGCCTTCCTGAAATCCATTACCTCAATTGTGCTGGTCTCCCTTCTACCTTTCCTTAAGATCATGAACTCTATTTCATGATCACTGTCCCCTATACTGTCTTCCACTTTCAAGTTCTCAACTATTTCCTCCCTATTTGTTAAAACCAAATCCAGAATAACTTGAGTCAAGAACTTAGGGGGAGAAACTGTTCTTTTCCAGGTTACTCTCAGGATCAGCAGAACTTTCACAGATTTATCTGAGATTTTTCCATATCTGTTGTTGCCTTAAGCATCTCTTTAGATCTGACATTAGAAGCTTTCATCCATGTTCCTAAGCAGTAGCTTTCTCTTTTCCTCAAAGTAGCCATAGTAAAAATGTGATGTCAGAAAATCAGTCCTCCCACATGGGGCAGGGCTATTTTCCCCCTTCTTGTCCTCCTGTATCTGAGCCGTAACACCATAGTGCATGCATCAAGTTTGTTATCTTCCCTCTAGATCTAGCTTGAGCATAGAAAACAGTAATATGGAGGTATTGAGTAGAATTGGGCACCTCTAGCTTGAAGGTAGTGAGTCCAATGCTAGATTCATTAGAGTCTATTCACTTCTGCTTGCTGTGCTCAAGAAATGAATCAACATTTTTTCTTGTTACATCTGATCTCCTCTAGCTTCAAATTTTTCAAGGCACAAATGACCTTTCCTATTATTGTGGTAGACCCAAGCACTTAACTTGATTTAAAGGATGCTTATTTTATATTCTGTGTGGCTTACCAGAAGTTTCTCATTTGCCTTGGGTTAAATATGTCTGCAATACATCATCTCGTTTGGTTTAACCTTGGCTCCCAGGGTTTTCTGAATAGTGGCTGCTTTCATACTGCACACACAGATTTCCGTACTGTTAACTGCACTGCTTATAAAATAAGGTGCCATCCCTGTAAAAAGCAATTAGGGTAGTTGAAGACCCCATCTAATCTCCTACCCTACCTCAGCTCAGGTTTGTATTACACTTTGAAAAGAATGAATCAATCACAGCAAATCTTGATCTTTCTGTGAACAGTTTTACATATCACAGTGGTGGCCTTTCCATTGGATGAAGAATTTTTTAGGTTTTGTTTGACGATTCATATCCTGTTGACAGTTGCCAAGAATATGCACATCCTCATATTACTTAGGTCAGTAACCTCATTTTTGTTTATTCCTACTCTTGCTTTTACTCTCAGCTAACTTAAAAGGATGAAGGAATTATCAGTAAGTTTTCATTAACAATACTTCAGCCAAGGTCAAGCATACATTTCATCCCCAAATGATTTTGAGAGAGCTAAAAAAACTGAAGCCAGGGGTTTAGAATGGAAGTGTCATCTCATTCTAGAATATCTCTATTGTGATACTGTAATTCTTTTCATCTGAGAAAACTTGTAATGGTTGCAGTCTATCATCTACTTACAAACCTCCAATAAAAGTATTATCTTGGAGAGGAATCTGGTGAGGAAACAGACTTTAGGTTCAAGATTCCTAAATGAGAATATATATAAACAGTAACAAAAACAATTTTTTAAAATTATGAAAAATAACACAAATACCCTTTCAACAATATATGCAAAATACAAGAAGTATTTGTAATGTGTACATCTTGTGAGAGATAACTGTTTCAATACTTTTCAATGCTGTATTGATTTTCCCCCTCATTTTTTTTAAACAGGATGAAGGAAACGTGAAAGAAATTCCTATTACCCACCATGTGAAAGAAGGGTGTGAGAAAGCAGATCCTGCACAATTTGAATTACTTAAGGTTCTTGGTCAGGGATCATTTGGAAAGGTAAGATATAAACTTCCCTTTTCTAACTCTCTACTTCTAATAGAGATCTACTTAGTCCTACTTGTTAACATTAATGAATGTCTCCGTTAAAGTTGCTTTTATAGCTTCTGAATCCTCCTAAATGCTGAATATCTTTCTCTTTTGTTGTAGAGCTTAGTGTCCCAGGATACTGATGGATTCCGTAGGCCTTTGTGCATTAGTACTCTGCCTGTGACGTGCATATCTCACTTTGATCAACACATTGTTTATCCTTAGCATTAGAAACACAATCCTGCTGTACTCCTGTGGGCAAAACTCTCATTAAAGTGAAGATAAACTTAAAAAAACCCAAACAGTCTTGTAGCACTTTAAAGACTAACAGAACATGTAGATCCGTGGTCACCAACAGGTCGATTGCAATCGACTGGTCGATCACGAGGTGTCCTGTCCGCCCCGCCCCCATTTCCCTCCCACCCTCGAGAAGCCCCACTACCTACCTCAAGTGAAAATGGAGGAAGTGTAGGCTTCCCAGGGATGGACAGAAGCTGAGGCGCACGCGCGCACACGCAGAACTTCCCTGCGCCGCGGGGGGAGTCGGCCCCAGGGCAGGCACGCGCTGGTTTCCTGGGAATCCTGAGAGGAGGTAGATACTGGGGACTCTCTGCCTCCACTGGCACCCCACTCCCCAGCCACAGAACTCTGTCCCTACTCTCCTGTCCCCACTCCCCGAACTCTGTCCCCACTGGCACCCTGTCCCCAGCTGCAGAACCCTGTCCCCACTGGCACTCTGTCCTCTGCTGCAGAACCCTGTTCTCTGCCCTCCCAGCACCCTGTTCCATCTCCCCTGCCCCAGCTGCAGAACTCTGTCCCCACAAAATGTATAATTATAAATGCTTCATTTTAGATTTAAATAGCATGAATAAAAAACAGACCATTTATTTCATAACTATAAACACCTGACTGTCCTCTGCCCTCCCAGCACCCTGTTCCCTCTCCCCTGCCCCCAGCCACAGAACTCTGTCCCCACAAAATGTATAATTATAAATGCTTCATTTTAGATCTAAATAGAATGAATAAAAACCAGACCATTTATTTCATAACTATAAACACGTGATTTTAACTTTATACATCGCACAATTTAAAAATAAACTGTTTATCAGAGTGTGTAAGTAAGGACGGGGGATAGCAAATGATGGACAGGAGGAGAATAGAAAGGGGTGGGGCTTCAAGAAAGGGGTGGGGCTTCAAGAAAGGGGTGGGGTGGTAGATCTTCGCCTGTTTGGAGATTTAAAAAGTGATCTTGGGTGTAAAAAGGTTGGAGACCACTGATGTAGATGGTATCATGAGCTTTTGTGGGCACAGCCCACTTCTTCAGATGACCCTTCAAAAGTGGGCTGTGCCTACAAAAGCTCATGATACCATCTGCATGTTTTATTAGTCTTTAAAGTGCTACCAGTCTATTTGTTGTTTTAAGTTTATCCTGTACAGACTAATTCAGCTACTCCCTGAAGCTTATTAAAGTGAAGGGTAGTTTTCCTATAAGTAACAGGACTGCAGTGTTGGGTGCAGAATAATACAGAAACATTCTTAATCCTAATGAAACTCTCAACAGTTTGAGAATGTCAGAGAAGGGGGAGACAGATTTTAGAGGCCTATCCTGTGAAAACTACCCCTTCAGAGGGGTAGCTGAGTTAGTTTTTAAGGTGCTGCAAGACTATTCATTGTTTTATATGTTTTTCCAGTTACAGACTAACAAAACATAGATGGTATCATGAGCTTTCGTGGGCACAACCCACTTCTTCAGATGAATAGAGTTCTTAAAAGTCCAGTTTCTAAATAGAGGGGATGGGGGAGAAGAAAGAAGGGGGGAAAAAGGAAAGAAATAGTCAATTACAGTGTCCATGCTACATGAAGCTGATAGAGAAGGTGCAAATTGTTCTTAAGTACTCATTGTTTCACTTTTATATCATTAGGATGTGGAAGTTAATGGGGGCATCCAGCCAATGTCTTTATTCATACCTTTTGATAGGAATCAAACTTGTCAATGAAGTTAAGTTCTAAGACAGGCATGTCAAACTCGAAGCCTATTGAGGGCCACACAAACAAAAACTGATAGCTTTCAGGGCCACCAATGTACTTCTATCGGAAAGTCTTAATTATTTATTATAGATTATGTTTTAGGTATGTTGTATAATTTTTTTCAGGTCTTGTTTGAATATAATACAATAATTTGATATGTAAAATTTATTTTTATAATTTTTAAATATAAAATGTAAAGTACTTAATTATTATGATACATGACTTGTTTTGTTGAAATACAAACAAATATAGACTAAAACAATAAGGGAGAGTCTCATATTTCAGAGTAATTGCTTCAGCCTGGCAAACAGTAGCCTTTGAATTTTTTTTAAAGAAACACAGGGTAAACCAGGTACATGCTGATTCTTTTTTTGCCTTGGAATTTAAATATGACATCTGTGTTGGCTGCCTTATTCTGCATCCATACCCTCCTCCCCTGCCTGCTCTAAATGTCTGTTTGTTCCCAGAAGGATTACCAAAACGAATCAAGTGGCTTGCAAAGCTGGCCTTTATGCTATCCTTAGGATTTCTTAAACTTTGCACTTTCAAAGGTACATGTAATAATCTTACACAGATAATCCATGCAAGACTAACAAGTTAATTGCCCTTTGGCTGGCTGATGTACAAGTGCATATTTATTAGCAATATTGTCTGGTTCTTCTTAGATATAAAACTGGATAGTTTCCTTTTCCTTTTTATCTTTAAAGCAGATGTTGTTTGAGCCAAATGGGTATCCTTCAGAAACTGGAAATCCCTCCCAAGTTAAGTCTATAGAGCAGAAAATGAAATAAGGATAGGTAAAATGTAAGATAGATATCAGGTGTACAAAGTAGGAATTGATGAGCAAACAGCCAAAACATGACAAAACAAATGGATAAAAGGAAACTTTTTTTTTACCCAACTCATCTGTGGAACTCTCTGCCATTAAAAAGCAGTCAGGTGAAAAGTTTGTAAAATTTTTAAAAGGATGAATGCTTATTGATAATGAAAACATCTAAAATACCATAGGTAGGATAAAAACAGATTAAAACCTACTCATGTTTCAGGCCAGCCACAAACTGATGGGAGTGAAGAAGAAACATTTCCTATCGGGAGATAACTGTCCACTGTAGTTTCTTGTGGACATGTGCGAGCACACTCACACCCCATCCTATGACACATCTTGTGTTGGCCTTTTTTTCTACAATACTGGACTAGACTAGAGGGTCCCATTGGCTGATTTGGCAATGCCTACATTCCAAGGAAATCATATGAAAAATATTAACACAGTACAGTTAGATATTTAAAACTCAGGACATATGAAAATTAAACTGGGAACCACAAATCAGCCCCGTGTGTGTGTGTGTGTGTGTGTGTGTGTGTGTGTGTGTGTGTATATTACAGTACTCATGATTCCGTTCCATTTGGTGGGAAAAAACTGTATGCTATATTATTTGAGAAATAGTATGTGACACCATGCAATTAACACTGAATTGTATGCTTGTACAAGGGGAAGAGCTAAAGGGCAGTGGTCCAATGCCTCCCCCCTGCCTGAGAGCCAGGATCCCCACGCCCCCCTAATCTAATGCCTCACTCCTCTCCCCAGAGCGGGGCACCCCCAACCTAATGTATTCCCTCTCCCCCAGAACCAGGCACCCCTCAGTCATCCCCAATCTAATGCCTCCCTCCTCCCCTAGAGCCAGGCACTGGGTCCCGGATGCCTGGGTCCCGGAGCTGCCGTCGCCGTGTCGCTGCCACACACTTCTCCCTAAGGTGCTGGGGTGGTGTGAGTATAGTGGCCAACTGTGAGCAGGCGCTTGATGCCTGTGCAGAGCGGCCTGGCTGGCTGTGAGCAGTCATTGCGGCGCAGTGCGCAGAGGGGCTGGCCGGCTGTGATCTGCACTCAGATGATTCCCTCTTTATTTAGAAACTGGACTTTTAATAATTCCATTCATCTGAAGAAGTGGGTTGTGCTCATGAAAGCTCAGGATACCATCTACGTGTTTTGTTAAGTCTTTATTGTACTGTGAGATTATTTGTTTTTAAAGTTTTTCCTGTGAAAACTAGTTTGTTTTGAGGAAGATATTCTGTCTTGCAAATTCTTGTGTGGAGGTGTCAGAATTAGAAAACGTAAACCTTGTGCCCAGTAGTCCCATGAACCACAAAACAACTGTTTCTTGTCCTTTAAACATTTTTACCTTTTTTGTTGATATAACTCAGTCTAATTAGGACCAGTATTATCCCTCCAGTCTTCTTGTTGTCCGTGCTGAGATCAGTTGTCAGTTTCTTGCATAAGAGATGTACAGTCACCTTTTTTACTTAGCATAAGAGGAGGATAAAAATCTTGTGGAAGGGTAGGTAGTATTACTTGATACTTGTGGTAAGTTTAGTTTAATCTTTTCCACACTTACTGTCTCTGAATGTGGAGTACATATTTTCTCACAAGTGGGAGACAGAAAAGGTCTTTTATCTACTCAGTCTCTGCTAATATAGGATTATTCCCTGTTGTGCATTTACTAATGCTTTGTCCAGTCTAACTTTAATTGATCTGTTCATTGAGATTTTTCCAAGGAAAGTACTTTACAGCCTAATAGATCTGTCAGTAAGCTTCCTCTGAACTTCAGCATAAATGATCCCTTCTTTTATTCTGTAACTCCTAATTACACCCTTTCTATGATTGTAAAAACACCCTTTTTATATATGTATGGCCTGCCATATGTACCACCTGATTTGTTGTTCTTTTCTCCTAACTCAGTTTCTCCAGACATCTAAGTGTTTTTTATTCAATGTATTTTATCCCTACCTGTGTGGGGCTTAGGGGAAGGTATAGGTTGAACCTCTCTGAACTGGGACTCTCTGGTGCAGCAACATCTGTGGTCCTGTGGCCGCAGGAGTGTGCTGAGCTGGCCCCAGGGCGACCAGAGCACCAGCGGACTGCAGAGGGGCAGTGATCTGCCGTCAGGGGTCAGGAGCCCCAGTGGCGGGCTCCTGCTCAGCCACTGGCAGGGCCAGGAGCCCCAGTGATAGGGCTGGAAGCCATGGCAGTAGGATTGAGTGCTGTTGCAGCAGGGCAGAGAAGCTGACATTGCAGCAGATTGCTGGCAGGCCCAGGGGGGACTTCTAGGGCAGCAGGCCGGCAGCAAGGAGGAATCCGCAAGGAGGCCAGTGTCTGAACCAGGAGGAGCCAGGCTGGGAGGCAGGCTCATGGGCTGGGAGTTGGCAGGCTCACGTGGGGTGGCAGCACTGAGGGCAGAAAGCCCCTGCACAGAGCCAGAAGCAACCAAGCAGCAATCTTCTCTCTCCCCCCGCCCCTCCTCACCGCTCCAGCCATTACCACTTTGACCTTACACGAGGCTGACAACTCCTAGCCTGTGTGGGCTTGAACAGCTCCTCCTGCCAGCCCTTGTTTAATTAGTTAACTGGTTAAACATTAAGTTTAACCGTTTAACTGATTAAATGGGATTTTTGCATCTCTAATTCAAACTAAATCACTGTTTACAAATAACAATTTTAGCAATAATTTGAAATATTAAATATTTTTTGGGTCAGGTTTTTCTTGTGAGGAAAATAATTGGTCCTGATGCTGGGCAGCTTTATGCAATGAAAGTGTTGAAAAAAGCTTCTCTAAAAGGTAAGTGTGTTTTTTCTTTTATAAAGATCTTGGAAAATATTTTTGTTACTTCATGTGTTGGTCAGTATTGTAAATATTTCTACATTAAATAGCCTTCTGTCTTAAATTAGCTGTTCCTTCTGTGAAATCATCATCCTTTCTTTGGCATTAGTTTTTTATTGAACTTTTTGAGGTGTTACTTATTAATGCCTATTAATAATTATTTCAAACCTGTCCAGCCAGATTACTTAATTTTTTTTTGTGCATTAACTTTCTGTATGTCCATTTAGAATTTTTGTTGTTACAGCAAGAGAATTATAGTATTCCTGTATTTTCCATGGTTCTTCTTTGATCAAAATTGTTCCTTTGTCCAATTTTGAGTCAACCTTGGTTTATTTTGGAAGGCAAAGACAGATACCTCACTGGACTCTATTCCATTTTGGATTAGGTTTGGCCATTAAGTTACACTGGTTGAAAATCCAAAATATGGTTTTAATACACAAAAACAACCATAAGGGGCAAAGTTCAGAAGTTGCAGTTAATTGAAATTCCTTCTCCCCAAAAAACAAGCAACCCAGTTTTCCCCCGTTTTTTTGCAATTCTTGAACTGAAACTTGCTTGGTCACTTAAACATAGCAGGATTTGTTGCAGAATTTAGAAGGATAAAATATATGGCGGTAGGAGGGGAAAAATAAAATAAATGAAAATAAAAGCAGTGATTTAAAGGAGAAATAAAGATGATTTTGTATTTCTCTGGATATTTAGAATTTACTGTCTGTTCCTTCCTACCCTACCTTCAACTTTACTGAAATAGAGTTATTTAATATTATTCTGATGTTTTTTTTCAGTACGAGATAGAGTTCGTACAAAGATGGAGAGAGATATATTAGTAGAAGTAAATCATCCATTTATCGTCAAACTGCACTATGGTTGGTATTTTTGTTTTATTGCCTATATATTTTGGCAGGTTTAATGTGTTAAGAAACAAATGACTAATGCCCTTTAATAGTGGGAGTGCATTTGATCTAATCTTATTCTGCCTTATTTATGTTAAATTATTGTAACCAAGTACAGATGATGTGAAAGCCAGGCATAGATGACTAGAAATTACTACCTTCCAGTATGTATTAACTAAGGACAGTAAGGGGAAAAAAAAAGTTTCTTGCCATGATGATGCTTTACCTACAGAAAGTGACATTAATAGACGAATATCAATCCAGCCTTTCTGAAGCATTAACCTACACAGAGTTAAATAAACCAGTATTTTATGCCTTTGAGAGGTTTGAATATACACAGTTATATAAGCATACCTTTTATAATTACTGAGCTTATCTCAGTTTTCACTATTCTAGTCTACATCTCATGTTGTCTCAGAGCATGTGCCCGGTCCACTCTGTGTAGATGGCCTGTGCCTGTACTATAGAGGCTTGTCATTTAGGCCTTGTGTGTCAGTTTTCTTCTGCACAATATGAATACATCTTGAATGTAATCTTCTCAGGGATATATTTCTCATAAGTATAAGCTTATTGTGCCAGTGTAGTTCAGATCAGGATAGTGCTTTTTCCAAGAGGCTAAAGAGTTCATTAAATAAAACATGCACATGATCAATTTAGCATACTTAAAACAATTCCTAAGCACTTAATCAAGAAATCGTAGTTCTTCGAGTGATTGCTCATGTACATTCCACGTAGGTGTGCATGCATCATCGGAAGCTTTTTCCCTTAACAGTACCTGTTGGGCAACAGGGCAGTCCCCTAGAGTGGCACTGCTATATCAGCTGATATATATAGTCCTGCTGGCCCTCCACCCCCTCAGTTCCTTCTTACCCCTCTTGAAGTTGCAAGTGCATCTTAGCAGTTCTTCTAGTTGATTCAGTAGTAGTTAAATAGTTCTCAGTTCATTGTTCTTATCTAATGTTTTATTAGCTGTTAGGTATTGTTCTTAGTTTTAAGTACTCAGGCACAGGGCTTCCCCCATGCTCCCTGACCCCACTTTCAATCCCTGTGGAAAGTGCCCATAGCTTATGCCCTCACACAGCCTGTCTTAAGTGCCTGGGAGAGGCCCAGTTGTCTGAGCCCTGTAAGAGCTGCAAGGCCTTCAAGCTGTGTACCAAGCGGGAAAGTGAGTCTCACTTGAAGATTATCTTGATGGAATTGGCCTTACATCTGGCACCGGCATCTGATTCAGCACCGGCAACCCAGAGTGCAGTGGCATTGGTACGTGAGGCACCTAGCCACTCTTGCACTTCCCCGGCATTGTGCAGGCCTCGACACAGGTTGCAGTATCCCATGCCTCAGAAGAAGAGAAGACCTAGCAGGGGCAGGTCTCTCTTGAGGTATGTGCCTTCCATGCACACTCAAGTGGGGCATGACACCAGGACCTTCATGGTTGGATCGGCTCTGCTCAAGTCTGTGCCTTGATGTCAGCATGGTTGGGTCTTTCCAGAACCCTCCATTCCTGATACTTTTGAGGCAGCAAGAGAGCCCCGAACCACGTACTGGACCCAGCCAAGAAACGAGCATCTAGACAGTACTGTCCTGTGGCCTTGGCACCCAGCGCTCTGGCCCCAGATGCTAGAGGGTCCCATTGTCCTGTGCAGTGCTGATAACCTCATCCCCGGTTCAGGGTGCAACACTGGCTCCACCCTCGGCACTGTGACCATAGCCCCTGCAGCAGACTGCAGCACCAGATGCAGTAGCAGTGGCCTCAGCCTACCCCGGTGCCAGTGTTACAGTAGCATTGGCCATCTCAGGTGCAGGCTCTGACCCAGTGGCCTTTTTGGACCCCCTGGGCCTACCATCAGAACCGGGGTATGGGCCCATCCAGACCAGAGTCGGTCTTCTCAGGGCCAAGGGCTCTCCCCCTCCCCAACGTCCCCGGAGCATCACCAGGAAAAGGGGGCCTCCCACCACTCAGCCCGTTACTGTGGCCTCTTCTGTGGTTTCACAAGCCCCCTTGCCAGCTTTGGATCCAGAGGTGGTGGGCATGAAGAGGTCCTTGTCGTCCTCACCTGATGAGGCACTTGCCGGCTCTTTCCCATCTGTGGACTAGAAGTCCCATGAGGGACTTCTTTGCTAACTGGCTCAGAGTTTGGTAGTCCAGGCGGAGAGGATGTCGGAGGATTCGGACCCTATGGTCAACATCCTGCAGGCCAACACCCCTACCAGAGTGTCCCTGCTGATTAATAAGATTGTAAACAAGATCACATAGACACTCTGGCAGACCCTGGCCTCTATCCGGCCGACAGATGAAGTATTTTGTTCCACGGGGAGGAACAAAGTTTTTTTTTTTTTCTTACCTGCCTCCAGGATCCCTGGTTGCTCAGGCAGTGAACCAGAGGGAGAAGCAGGGCCAGCCAGGCACCACTCCCAATAGCAGGGATGCCGAGCAAATGGACCTTTTGGGCAGAAAGGCCTATGTGTTTGGGGGTCTTCAACTTAGTGAACCATCAGGTTCTGCTGAGTCGCTATTCCTAGAACACCTGGTCGAACATGGGCAAGTTTGCCGAGCTAGTCCTAGGGAATCTCGGCCAGAGTTTGGAACCCTAAATGGAAAAGGGCAGGGTGGTCTCCCGGGCGGCCCTGCAAGCTGCCCTGGACACGGCTGGTACAGCTGCCTGTGCTATGGCCATGGGACTGGTTCTGCATTGCAGCTCTTGGCTGCTGGTGTCTGGAATGCCCGCCGAACTCCAGAACGCTATTTAAGACCTTCTGTTTGAGGGTTCATCCCTCTTCTCCAAACAGACCGACCAACACCTGCATGCTCCTGGGCTACCTTGAAGTACCTGGGAATTCATACCCTGGTTAATCAACAGCATT